CACTTAATTAAAAAAATAACCATGTCTGAATTTGGTCGAGGTATTAAAACTGAATCACCAGATACATTTGTATTTGGGTAATGTAGTTCAAATAAAATATTATTTGAAAACGTAACAAATGATTTATAATTAATTACTTTGCTCAAATATAAAAGTAATGATTATTTTATTCTTACTATTTCTATTAAATACGAAATAATTTATGGTTTGTTTGAATTTTTTCGATAAAAAATATAAGTTATTGATGGTGTTTTAAATTTAGTTCAATAAATACAAAAGTGATTGGGGATTCATCCTAATAACTTCGATAAAAAAAAAAAAATTTAAAAAATAGTAAAAAAATAGTAAAAAAAATTTTTTAGAGCCAAGTTGACATGCAAAATAACGTTTATACATTTAAATAACTATAATTGAAAATATGAGGTTGGTACTGTATTTAACAAAACGTTTAAGAAACGATTTATTTTTTGGCCTCAGTACGTTTACTTACAGAAAAGTATAGTGAACGGCAAAGGAAAAAAACAATAAGCACATGATCGTTTTTGACAAGATTTTGCCGTTTCTAAGTACAAAAAATGCCCTTTCTTTCATACGCATGATACCAATTCTGTCACTATAATGGTAGTTTTCCTACGAGTTTGAAAAGTCTCTGTTTGCGAACCGAGAGGTTTGCGGCCCGAGCCGAAGGCGAGGGACGTAACGAGGTTCGTAAAGGAGACTTTTCGAACGAGTTCCGGAAAACTGCTTTTCGCCCGAGGAAGTACCAGCCTCCCAAAACCACCCGAGGGCGGAAAACTATTTTTTTTATATGTCCTTACGTTGACTTACAATTTTTTAAACTATTTTTCCTAGTATATTCATTAAAGCAATTAAAATAAATCTGCAATTAAATTTTCACAGTGACAGTTACAAGTACTCATTTTATAACGACTTCGCTCATTTCTGCCTTTCGGTTCATGCGAGCTTAAACTATTATACACTACCTCTACAGATACCGATTAGTTGCCTTCAACGACCAGATGTCGTTTGCCGGTCGAGGCTCCGGTCGGACGCAGATCTGCGGGGTAATCGCCTGCCTGAACGAGACGATCGACAGCTGCGGTCGGCTCCTGGAGCCAAGCGAGAAAATGGCCCTGCCCATAAAGTTGGAGGTGGACATTAAGGTGCCAATCAACAGAGACGAGAGGACTGTGTTCCTGCCGGTGACGCTCCAGAGGTCGGGGCCCGTGAGTTCGCCGCTGCCGCTCAACGTCTCGGAATTCAAGTTTGTCGAGGATAACGAGCGAGTGGAGATGGGACTGCGGAAGGCTAGGGATGACCTGTTGACTTTCGTCGTTATCGGGAGGAATTTCGGGAGGAACGGCGCGGCTGGTTTGCCGATCTTTTCGGTGGTCATTGTCCTGATGGTCCTTGCTTCACTGGTGCTCGCGTACTGAAGATGGACATTGGTTAATGGTTTTTTGAGTGTGGTAGTTTTAAATGTCAAATTTTATTTTTTAGTTATAATATATACCCAAGAAAATCCCTTCATTGTATCCTAAATTGGAAATCTTAATTGTTAACCCCATTTAAAAATTAATTTGGTTTTTTTATTTTACTTAAAGTTATTAAATTATTATTGTTAAAAATTACTAAAATCTTATTGTATAGAGTTAAAACTATCTACTCGATTTTTTTAGGCATTTGTAACGTCAAAAATATTAAAACTCTCCAACAGTGAAAAAAAAACAACAGTAAACAATACAAACTAGAATTGCAATCAAATTTGTGTGTAGGTCAGTTTATAATAACGAGAATACATATCAGTTAAAAGTAGGTAATTTTATAATTAATGATTACGAGTTAAGTACATATAAAAAATATATTTATGTACACTCAATCGTATTAGTGCAAAGACTATTGTCTGGAATTAATGAAAATCGATCTTACAGTTTATTGTTGTATTCCAATAAAGGAGATTATTGTGGTACGCACATCAGTAAGCCTCAGAAATGAGTCTCAACATTATACTTTTAATACCTTCTAGTTATCTTGTACAAAACGTTTGAAAAAGTCAGTACAAAGATTGTCTAACGTACACACGTAAAAACTAAGAGAAAAAAAATGAATCTATAAATAAATAACATGTGTCAAAATTACGAACCAAAATTGACTTTTGTATTGACCAGTATCAATATGTATACAATATTCGAATAATATACGTACGCAATATTATCGAGTTTGAGTCAATAAATCTTAAATTTTTCAAATACTATAAAGCCAGGCCTTGTCATATATTGATACATTAAATTTATAGTGATAAAATAAGAGTCTCATAATTTATAGAATTTCGGATATGTCACGATGATCCCATTTACTTTTTGTCGCTATTGTTGTACTTACGTTGTTTCCAATAAAAAAAAAAAAAAAAAAAAGGGATGGGGGGACAAGGAAGATTGGGTGGTTAGATCAAGGGGGACGGAAGGGGAAAGTTGTTGCGCGGCGTCCGGTAATTTCATCAATTCAAAGTACTCGTTTGGTATACAGTTCGGGGCTCGCAAGAGTGGATGTGCGGGACTCTCTCGAGAGCCNAAAAAAAAAAAAAAAAAAAAAAAAAAAAAAAAAAAAAAAAAAAAAAAATCAATGCACAAGACAAACAGAGCCACGTACATATACATCTCCATAAGAATGACGACAGTAAAAATAGCGATGTACGATACGGATATCTCTCGAAAGTGGACGTTTGATTGAAGCTGAGTGGAGAAAGAGACGAGCGAGGCAGTCGGTGCGGCGAACGTGCTGGTGTTTCATCGTCAATTTTTTCGCAACTCGTACAACAATGGAGCAGCGCTGGCGTGCCTATAATACAAAAAGCACGATGAAACAGTTATCGTTGTTTTTATTGCCGTTGGCATTGTTGCTCGCCAGTGGAAAGGCACTGGTCAATCCGGTGGTCATTGTGACGTGGAACTACCCAAACGCGACCCAAAAAGGTACTGTACATCCATCATCCAACCAACAATTTGTACACTCCAGTGAAAACAATGACAGTAGAGTCTAGTAAAAAGATCTCATACAAGTATAAATTAATGAGAGCAACGATTCCACGTCGTCTCCACTTGAAAATATTTCCGGACCTGACGAACATTTGAAAATTTCTCGCACAACGTAATTATACGAGACGACTTTATCTTTAATTTGACGTGTCGATGCATCTCATTCTGAGATAAGCAATGTTTCGCTCTTCGATTCCTCTACACATTGTGTTAATTCATCGTGTACTCACAAAAAACTGTGACTTTATGAAGAAAAAAAAAAAAAAAAATCCTCTAGCTTGGGAGACACTGTCCATTGAGAAACAAAGCGCCCTGGACGCGGTCGAGAGAAGCTGCGCGCTCTGCGAGCAGATGCAGTGCCGCGGGACTGTGGGCTACGGCGGGAACCCGGACGAGAACGGCGAGACAACCCTCGACGCCCTCATCATGGACGGGTGAGCTCGTCACTTATATTTATTTTCACCCCATTTTCCATAAAAACCAAAAAAACATCATCAGAGTGACGATGGACGTGGGCGCGGTCGGTGGGATCCGAAACGTCAAGGACGCTATCTCCGTTGCCCGGAAGGTCATGGAAAACACCAGGCACTCGCTACTCGGTGGCGAGCTCGCGGCCGACTTTGCCGTCCAGATGGGCTTCAAGAAGGAGAGCTTGCAGACGGACAAGTCGCGCGGGCTCTGGGAGACGTGGAAAGCTGGCCACTGCCAGCCCAACTTTTGGGAGGTAGGTGGAATTAATGAAACACCCCCCCCCCCTCTCTCTCTCTTTTTTTTCCAACGACAACGTGTCTCTCAACGCCAGAACGTCACGCCCGATCCGTCCAAGAGCTGCGGTCCGTACCACCTCGCAAACTCCAACGGGGAGCCAACGAGCAGCGGCGGTCCCCACAGCGACGAGGACAACCACGACACGATCGGTGTGCTTTGCCTGGACACTTTGGGCCGAGTCGCCGCGGGGGTTTCGACGAACGGACAAAAGTACAAGGTGCCGGGCCGCATCGGGGACTCGGCGGTCACGGGTGCCGGGGCTTACGCGTCGGGTGACTCGGGCGCGGCTGCCGCCACCGGCGACGGCGACGTCATCATGCGCTTCTTGCCCAGGTTGTCAAGTACATTATGTTTCCCATGTCACGTGTACCTATACCTATATATATATACATATATATACACATGCTTTTTGTTACGACTAACTCGGATGATTGGTCCAAAAGCTTCCTCTCGGTGGAGCTGATGAGGATGGGCGCGTCGCCGAGGGCCGCGGCGGAAACGGCGGTGCGCCGGATGGCCAGGTATTACCCAAAGTTCCGCGGGGCCGTCATTGCCTTGAACAAGGAGGGAGAGTATGGAGCCGCGTGCCACGGCTACGACAATTTTCCCCACTACGTGGCTGACGTCGGGACCCAGGGTGCCAAGGAGTTGAGCGTACCTTGTCTCGTTGTGCCAAAGAATCTGTGACTTGCTCTCCGTTCTTTTTTCTTTTTATCTTTTTTGATGTAGAAAAGCTGCAAAAATTAATAAATTTCAATTGAATGATACAGTTTTCTTTTTTTTTTTTTTTTTTGATGGTACGTGGTTTATTTTTACAGCAACATTAAGAGATCCCCCCTGCATCGTTGCATTTTCATCCATCACGTACCGGTTGATAAGCCACTGATTACATTTAAAAAATCGCGCCATAACTCAAACCCCCTGGTGTTCGTGCCTCGTACTAATTGGGACTTCTGCTCCCGAAAGGTAACCTAACCTCAATCTCAGCTGTGGACGAGTGTGAAGAAAGTATAAATATTTATAAAACGAGAGTCGCAGTACTTTTAAATTGTTACTAGGTGAATTGAAACGAAACACAAAAGGTACATATACGTTGGTGCATATTGTATCACTTGTTAAATTTTCGAAAATTCAAAACACGCTTACACTTTTTGGGTATTCTCAAAAGCATGAAACATTACGAACTATACAATTACGTTTCCTTCGTGTCTGTCATTTATTTGTTTACCCTAGTATATTCAATACTTGATTTTAATTTTATCTCTTTTTATGTTTATCTCCTACAAGGACAAGTTGAGTTAAGTATCTGGGGTCAGTTTTAGATAATCGGCAAAAATGGCAGAGGACGAGAATATGAGTGCGTCCGCCCGGCTGACCAACGATGACTTCAGGAAGCTGTTGATGACACCTAGATCGTCCGTTCCATCTGCCACGCCAGCCAGTGTTCCAGGAACCGTCAGAGATTCCGGTGCCAAGGCAGCTCAAACTCCAGTGGTCGGCGGCAGCAACAGAGCAGAGCTCCGGAGAAAAAAGAAGAGCTACTATGCCAAGCTCAAAAAGCAGGAGGATGATAAGATGGCAGAGCTGGCCGAAAAGTACAGAGATCGTGCCCGAGAAAGGAGAGATGGTACGAATCAGGAGCAAGTTGAAGATCCCATGACCAATGCCAGTGCCTACAGAGCCGTGGCTCCTGACTTGAAATCCGGCTACGATGCTGCTGAGCGTAGGCGGCAGATGATACAGCAATCCAAGTTCTTGGGAGGTGACATGGAGCACACTCACTTGGTAAAGGGTTTGGATTATGCTCTGCTGCAAAAAGTCAGGAGTGAGATCGAGGCTAGAGAAACGGAGCAGGAGATAGAGATGGAAAAACTTGCCAAGCCCAAAGAGAAGGTCAAAGAAAAAGTCAAAGAAGTCGAGAAGAAGGACGAGGAGGTGAATTTTAAGAGCAAGACTGCACGTAACATTTGCAAAACTATCATGATTATGAAATCCAAAACTGTGGAGAGAAACGAATTGTTTGCTCCTGGTAGAATGGCTTATGTCATCGAGTTGGATGATGAGACTGAGGTTGACATACCTACGACATTGATTAGGAGTAAAGCTGATGTCCCTACTATTGACAATACACCTACTTTGACCACTAACGACATCGTTATCAATAAATTGGCACAGATTTTGTCGTACTTGAGACAGGGAAATAGACATGGTAAAAAGAACAAGAAAAACAAAGACGGGAGACCAAGACTGGATGATTTCAACGAGCTTGAAATCGCTCCGCAAAGATCCATTCAGGATGACAGTATTTACGGTGATATTGGTGATTATATACCAGATCTCACCAAGTCTGAGAGTAGTCATCTTAAGAATAAAAAGAAAGAGAGTTACTTTGCAAAACCAGAGCCAGAAATCAATGAGGAAGACAACGCACCTAGACTACCAAACGCAGAAATTCCAAATGAAGGTAAATATCTACGACTCCTTTGTTCATTACAGTCATTTCTAATATTGTGTCTCAATTTTTTTAGTTGCTGCTATTGCAAAAGCAATTGCATCTTCCGATGTTGCGCTACGCAGGGGTGTTGCACTGGACAAGCCGGCTGTAGAACCAGTTGGTTATGCTGAGTGTTATCCTGGATTGGATGAAATGCAAGACGCAATCGACGATTCGGACGACGAGGTAGACTACACAAAAATGGATCTGGGCAACAAGAAGGGGCCAATCGGTCGCTGGGATTTCGATACTCAAGAAGAGTATAGCGAGTACATGAATAACAAGGAGGCCTTGCCAAAGGCGGCTTTCCAGTACGGCGTGAAAATGGCCGATGGTAGAAGAACCAGAAAATACAATAAAGAGAAAAACGAAAAGGCCGAGCTTGATCGAGAATGGCAAAAGATTCAGAATATCATGAACAAGAGAAAATCAACGAACAATGAAGGTGCGCCAGAGCTAAAGGCTTCTAGATATTAAAACATTTGATTATGTACATTAAATTATTTGATACACAGAGAAGAACTTAACGTTTTTCAAGCTACGCTAGGACTTATCAACTTGTACTTTATACGTTATATTATTTGTACATACATTTTTTTTTAGATTTAAGTGTATATTCAAGATTAAAAAGTATGGAACGTATAGTAAAAAAGTAAATCAATTATTTTAAGCAGCAAACAGTATGTTTCTCGTAATTCATATTTTAAAGGGTTTTAATAAATATCTTATACGCTGTTTAACAAAAGATTATATTATTTATTTTCAAAGTTTTTTAAAAAAAATATACGTATAATTATACT